CTTTTATAAATACACTTGTATTGCAAACTGTCATGCCTGTTGGCTTTCGTTCTGTATTTTAGCATGTTTTCATGCTAAAGCAGCAGGGTTGAGTAGTTATAATTGAGGCTGTACAGCCTATAATCTCGCCCTTTGTAGAAAACGCTTACCAATCTATCTCCTTGGCCTGGCCCGGAGGTCACCTGTAGACAGCTTCCACACATGCCGAGGATGCTCTCTCTGCTGGGGGTGTTCTCTGACTGCAGAGAAGCACCAGACTTACTGTGCAACAGGCAGAAGTGTCAGGGATTCAAGGCCCCAGGGCTGGGCCCTTATCTGAGGAATGATGCGAGCTGGTGCACAGATATCCCAGCTTCCTGCCTCCTCTTGAGACAATTTGAAGATTTTCTACCTGGTCTCTTCCGGGGTCCCCAGTGGGACGGAGCCCCAGATGCCCATAGCAGTGGCTGGTGGATTGATGCAGCCGGTGTTGGTGCCTCCCTTCCCAGCCTCACACCCTCTCCTGCACCAGTCCGAAGACAGGAATCCCACCCGTGATGTTAACAGGAAAGAGTGACATAAGCACCATAAAGTGAGTATGAAGAAGTATTATCTACTTAATCAGAAAGGCAAAAGAGACCACTAAAGAACACAGACCAAGCAGTCTAACACATGCAAGTCTGCGGCTCACTGTGAAGGGGAAGGCAGCTCTCTAAGACCATGGTGGGGTCCCTGGGAGGGGGCACCACCCGCCCGACTCCCCTGCATGCCCAGAGCTGGTGTGTGTGTGCAGGTGGACGGCCTGGAAAGCCCAGACCTCTGAAGAGGGGTGTCAACTGCTCGGTGCAGGCATCTCTGGGGAGACTGTGATGAGGCTGGCTCTGCAAATTTTGGAAAAGTTGAGAACTGGCTACAGCAGCTGCCACCGAAAGGAATGGCTGCTGCCTGGGGGGATGAGGACAAACAAGAAGGAGCAGGTCCCTTTCCCCTCCTCCAGCCTTTCGCTCTTCCACTCCCAGGGAGACACTGGCAAAGTGGGGACAGGGGCGCAGGGTCCAGCCCTGGCCCCGGAGTGTGGGGAGGTAGGCTTGTAGCTAAAAGACAGGTGCTTCCTAATAGCACTCTGTGCTCTTGTGATCACAGCGCTAATAAACCACCTGCAGCCAGGACCCCGCGTAGGGTCTGCTTTGGGATCTCTGGGGTTGCAAGCAACAGAAACCAACTCTAACTAATGGAAACAAATAAGCGGCATGTCCAAAGCATGTGGAGTAGCTCTCAGAACTCAAGGAAAGTCTGAAGAACCAGCCTAAAGGAGCCTAGAAAAGGGATAGAGATAGGAGCAACCCTAGGGAGAGAGAGACAGAGGAAACAAGTGGGGAACTTATCAGAACTCCCCCATCATCGGCCAGCTCCAGCATTTCCAGCCTTGGTTCTATTGGGCTCAGATTTCCAATTCCAACAGTGGGTCTGTTTTGAGACACTTGCCCACCCCACAGCCAGAGAAAGGCAGGATGTCTTCACAGTCTGATCAAGGCTGTATCCAGTGTAGGAGGAGCAGCTCCTCAATACAAAGTCGGGACTGCCACCTGAGGAGTGGGGGTTGTTGCTGGGCACATGCCAACCAAGCAGCTGTCTTAGGTTGGGTCCTCCCAAAAGCTGAGTCTGAAACAAGGTCAAGTCGTTTATTGGAAAGGAGCATCTATATACAGGGAGCAGGGAAGTAAGACAGGGATGGAAGGAGACTGATTCAGGGCGTATGGGTGGGTGGGTTTCTTTGGGGGTCTCTGGGGCTCAGTGGGGAGAGTGTATAACACCTCAAAGTTATCCCAATGGAGGTGGGAGAGAGCTGGGGTATTTATGCTCCAGGTCTTGTCCATCTGGTTGAGGGCTGCTCCCAGAAGCATGAACGCCACAGTGCTCCCAACATGCCAGGCGTGTAGACTGAGCACATTCCTATGACCACACGAGCCCCTAAGCCAGACTCGCATGTGCTTGGCGTGAGAAGCCTGGGGAAGTAGGCGTGAACCAGAACAGCAAGGGTCAGGGGATCTGGGGGATCAGCACCCAGGGCAGCTCACATGACAGCAGTTACTGGTCACCGACTCAAATGCTTGGTGACGGGAGGGGTGGGCAGCTGGGATTCAGCTTCTTTAGGGGGGTTGGCAGCTTCGGGAGACTCTCAGTCCTGGACTTGAGGCTGAGTCATAGAAAAGGAGGCTAGGACTCTCTGGTGCAACAGTTCGGACCAGACTCACAGTTCGGACCAGTCACCTGCAGCGCTGGCACTTAGGTACCTTGGGGCTTGTCAGAGCTCTGGTGTTCCTCTTGTCATCGATGCTACAGGGAGGCCTGCTCTGAACCCCCATGTTTACTGACAAGAAATATTTTTTATAAAACTAAAGTGCTTGTTTCCAGAGACCTCAGAGAGAGAGGAAAGCTAGAAAATGACCCCATTCTGCAGCTCCCTGGGGAAACAGAACCAAGCAGGGAAAGTGGAGAGAAGCAGGTAAGAAAAGGGCAAGCGGGGTTCTGGGGGACCAGGGACAACTAGCCCAGCTAGACCCCAAAATGTCCATTGCAAGCACCCCACATTTCACACAGTGAGCTCGGCTTGAGGCTGAGGTGAGGCAGCCAGGAAATGGTGTTTTCTTGGTTCCTGCCTCCCTCCTGGACCTCATCTCCTCCATTGTCCATCCACAGTCCCTTTTATTTCTCCTCCTTGAACAGGTTAAGTCCATTCCTGCCCCAGGGCCTTTGCACTTGCAGTTCCTCTGCCTGAAATGCTCTTCCCTCAGCTCTGCACATGATTAGCCCATCTTGCCATTCAGATCACATGTCACCTCATTTATGGGATCTTTGCTTGGCCATCCAATCCAAAGTAGACCCCTGGTCATTCTTACACATCACCCTATTGGTTCCCTTCCTAGTATTGTCTCTCCAATGCTCTTATTTAGTTATCTGCTTATTTGTGCATTTCCTTCCTCCCCATGCCAAAATGACTGTCTGTGAGAGCAGAACCACATCTGATTTTCTCTGCTGTCTCCTTAGTGCCCAGAACCATGCATGACACAGAAAGGCCCCAATCCATTTCTGATGATAGATTAAATATAATATAAAAATAAACTTTCTTTCCAAAAAGATGACCCTGCCTTTTAAAATATGAACTGAACATACAGTCCACACAATAAAAAGACTTAATGGGGAAGAGATAAGATCTTCAGTGGTTGTGATGTTAAATATAATACACACCCTGATCCAAATTCCTAGTACATTCTGGGCTCCAGCTAATGGTTTCCATCATTCTCTCTTAAGCTTTTAAATTATAAATATTTCAAAAGTGTGCAATGGAGTGGGTCCTCCATTCATCTTTTAGAAAGAACAACAAAAGCGTATTTCTTTCTTGAAGTCAAAACCTCAAATGAATTCAGAACAAGATTTTTTAATGCTCTAAATAGATAAGGTAATATTTAGTATTCTTTCTATTATTCATAACAAAAAAATAATAGCATATAATTTACAACACCATCAATTTTCTTGAATAATGTGTCACTGTCTTGCCAGATACTTTTGTTTAGGCAGATGCAATAATCCATTTAAGCACATTTAATCAGTGCCCTTATGAGCATCTACACAGGGAAGGAGCAGTTTCTCAACTGGTATAAGTAAAAAAAAAACAAACAAACAAACAAAAAGAAATGGGGGACTGTTAGTAGAAAAACAGATGCCTGGAGGCAACCAGAAGTTTTTGTAAAGATTGTAGTTTGTGGGAGCCTGGGTGGCTCAGATGGTTAGGCGTCTGCCTTCAGCTCAGGTCATGATCCCAGGGTCCTGGGATGGAGCCCTGCATCACATCCGGGCTCCCTGCTCAGTGGGGAGTCTGCCTCTCCCTCTGCCTCTGCCCTACCCCACTACTTGTGCTCTCTCTTGCTCTCGCTCTTCTCTCAAATAAATAAAATCTTAAAAAAAAATTGTAGTTTGAAGTAATTTGTTTCCTAGGATGTGACACAGTAAGTACCTGAATGCTCATGTGCATGTCTGTGTGCATATGTGCGCAAGAGAGTGTGTAAACACATGTATATTATGGTATAAATTACAGTCATTGAGAGCATTGATAAACCTGAGAAATCTCCCCTTCTCAGCGCAGCTCCATAAACGCTGGTTGGACTCATCAATTAAGTAGCTCCTCCACAAGGAACTACGCAGTGACATTTGGTTCTGCTTTTTGAAACCTGACCTAGGATCGCAATTTCTGAGCTAGAACATTTTCAGTAACTCAGACACAAGGACACTGGAGACATAGGCTGGGGCAGCTGGTGCTGGTGCCCCCTTCGATCCTCACGGTCCTTTACCATTGCCAAGTATTTCCATGCCGGAGATCCGAACGCCTGCACCCACACTTCTGTACCTGTGGGTTTTCTCGGCCCCCAAAGTTAGTGCCCTGGGAGCAGCGCCCCCCCCCCCCCCGCAACTGGCTGACAGGAGTTGGTGGAAGGAGAGAGAGCCCAGCTCCCTCACCAACTCTGAGGTGTGTGTTCTACTCCATCTCCCAGGGTCCCTCGGGGTGACTGAGCTCCACATGCCCACAGCACTAACTGATCTGGTAGCGCTCACGTCTTATAGGCTGCCTTGCCGTCCCCATCTCCCTCTTGCACTCCCCTCCTGGCGCTTCCTGGGATCACACCCCAAAGAAACTATATTCGAATCCTTGCTTCAGGATCAGCTCCTTGGCAAACCTGAACTAAGATGCCTTTCATCATGTTCCTCCAACGAAACACTCATGCACCTGAGCACGTGTTTGTGGCTTGAAATGCAAAAAAAAGCCACCAGTGCATCAACAAGCATGCTTCTGTGTGAAGTCCAGACACTCCCTGACTCTCTAATGCGTCTCTCAGTGACTCAGGATGAAAAGCCTCTTTCCTTAAAGGAGCAGGGTTTGATGGCCCCTTGAACACGGCATCCCTGTCCTGAGCATGGCTGACCCACCTACACTCCCAAGGCCCCTGTTAATTAGACAAAGGGTGTGCGAGCAAAGAAAACTTTTTAATTAAGGCTTCATTGGCAATGTCAGAAGGGTCTAATCCAAACAAGGAACCCTCACTCTTTTATCCTGTGTTCTAAAATATCAAAGCACTTCCCCTACAGTGGCCCCAAAGACATTGTCTCCCATTAAGCCCAGGAGTGTTAAGAGCTCTTCTCTCCCAATTTCTTCTTGTTTGCCTTCGTCTTCCCAATCACGGTCTCCACAAGGACAGCTGTTTCCTCATATGTCTGAATGCTCTCAGTTGTTATCTTCTCAATGGACTCCATCACTTCCACCTTCTCATATGCCAAAGTCCTGGGGGGGCTTCTCTCCTGCGAGCTGCTACTCCTTGCCCCATGCCTCTCCAATCCACCCGGACCGACTCCAGCCCTTTGAGACTGGGGTGGAGATGGTGGTCTCTCCGGACCAGGTGGGACCACGGGACAGGGCTTCCTGGACGCCTCATCCTCCTTCTGGTCCTCCTGTTTCTCCCCAGGCCCTTTCAATCCTTTGGCACTAATCTCGTTCTCCTTGTCAGCAGCATGCTGGTCGGGTGGGTGTTCACCTTCTTTACCCTGAAGATCGCCCTGTCCGTTCTCCAGCGGGGGCCCGGGCTGCTCAGGAGAGGGCTCCGCAGGGCTGTCACGATGCAGAGAGTCATCCTCAATGGAAATAACCACTCCACCTTTGGCTGGGATGGAGGATGAATAGAACCCAGGGTCCACATAACTGGCATCCCCGGAGACCAGCACGTACCGCCCTTTGGTGAAAAGGTCAGCTGGGGGCTCGGGTTCTTTGGGGCTTTTCACTTTATCCTTGACCTTCTTGAAGAGTTTCCCAAAGGCTTTGCTTATCTTCCCTCCATCTGGCACGTCCTCTGGAGCCACTTCTGGGGTTGGGGGACTAGCTTCATCACCTTGTAATTCAAGCTTAGACTCGCCTTCTTCTTTAGGAACCACCTGCACTGGCTTTGTGTCTTCTGGACCTTGCAGGGATATGTCTTCCAGACTTTCGTCAGCTTTGTCTTTAGCTAAGATCTCCTTTTTCCTTGGAATGTTCTTGGGGAGACCTTTTTGTCTTGGTTTTGCTGTTGTTATATTCTGCACAGCCCTAGTGAGATCTAAAAAAAAGGGGGGGGAGGCAGGGAGGGAGCATAAGTCAAGTTTGTCAATGAAAGAGGGAAAAAACGTATTTGTTGAAAAATAGGCTGCCTTGGAGACCAATGCCTAGCACTGGGCAGAGCTTACCATACACAGGGCAAGATGCCTGGATCTGACCCATAGCATCCATGACCCACTTAAGGTCCCACCTCTGTGACCAGCTGTGTGACTTTGGACAGGTTGCTTGACCGCTCTGGGCTTGGAAAGGGAAGGGAAGGTGCTGCCTGTATGGACTCTCACAGTTCCCATCACACTGGGTACAACTTACTGAAACGTTCTACAGCAATAACACTTGGTGTCCCCACCCCAGCCATGACGAATACTAGTCAATGGAACTCATTATACAGAGTCGACCTCACCGTGGACTTTTCCAAAGGAAAGACAGCAGAGCTGCCTGGGTCTCCAGTGTGTTCTGAATGGCTTTGGGCACGGGAATCAAACTGATCTCCCTTGCTCCATATGCACTGCAAGCTAAATAAATACAAATACCCCTCGAGCGACATCCCCTTCCTCCTGGGCAAAAGAGGAGGCAACTATTAAATTCAGAAATAACAGGAATCTTGGGCCACCTGGGTGGCTCAGTCGGTTAAGCAACCAGCTCTTGGTTTCGGCTCAGGTAATGATCTCAGGGTCATGGGATCAAGCCTTGCATCAGGCTCAGCACTCACCATGGAGTTGGCTTGAGAATTCTCTCTCTCTCTGCCTGTCCCCTCCCTCCTTCTCTCTCTTTCTAAAATAAATCTTAGAAAGAAAGAAAGAGAGAGAATGAGAGAGAGGAAAGAAAGAAAGAAAGAAAGAAAGAAAGAAAGAAAGAAAGAAAGAAAGAAAGAAAGAAAGAAAGAACAGGAATCCCCTGTTCCCAAGGCCATCTTCATTTCTTCAGACTAGCCAAAAGGAAAAATGGAACGTTCAAGAAAGCATACACAATCTCACCTCACCTCATCCATGAGGCTTTTCAACCTAACCTGCATGCTGATTTTTTTTTTTAACTTTTTCATCTTAAAGGTCTTCTCCATACCCTACCTCCATTAACCAGAGGACTGACAGACAAAGCAAAGGCATCCAGCATGGGGTGACTCAGAGCGCTGAGTGAACAGGGAATGGCAGAAATGAGCCGTGAAGCCATAAAGGAGGAAGAGACATGTCAAAGAAGCCTGCTAGGGGCGGGTATGGGGACAGGGGTGCCTGCAGGAACTGCTATGGAATTTCAGGGCCCAGCGCAAGAGGAAAAGGCAGGGCCCCTGTTCAAAATCATTAAGAATTTCAAGACATGAACAGCGGAGCACTAAGCCAAGTGTGCATACAGGGCCCTGAGTGTGGCTGCATGCTTCTAGACCCAGCCCGGGGACGGCTGCCCTTTCCAACACATTCTAACACGGAAACCCAATTTCTACAAACCCCTCTGAGCTTTCTGAGGGACCTGGATTTGAAGGCATTATAGGTATGAGCAATCAATAGCACCATCTTCTCTTCTCCCGAAACACTGTGTTTGTTCAGCAGTGGGGAGATTTCGCTGTGAGGTAACATCTCACAAGTGCATGAAACCATCCCCAGAGGACCAAACGTTGACGACAGAAGCCATGCTTGCCAACCAAGCTAGTTCTGCTCGGGGTTGAATGGAAGAGAAATGAGTAGTAATTGAGCATCTACTCTGCCCCAGACACTGGATTAAGCATTTTTGCACAGCAGAGCTCATTTCATTTGCTGAAGCGAACTGAATTATACTTTCTCCCCAGTGAAATGCTTCAAGTCTGAGGATGCCATTCCCAAGGTGGTCCATCCCCCCATCTGATTTTTCTCCTTGTCAACTTTCTGGCTCAGTCACTCAGCACCTGTGGGAGTGTATCAGAGATGGAGAGAAGACCTCACATAAAACATTAAATTTCCAGATGGATCAGAAGGAAGCATGAATGCTAAGTTCAGGAAGAAAGCTGTTTGATTTTCTTTCCTGCTTTTCCATGATGGAAAATAGCAGAAGCCAGGGTTGAGGAGCATTACCTTTCCCACCAAGCTGAGAACTGAGAGAGGTTCCGTGGCTTGGGGTGAACAGGGTGACAGGAGTTTCAATGAAGGCAGAGTTCAGCCTGGAGAAAGAACCAGAAAGACGATGGTCACCATCTTTAATTCATCAAACCAAACAGATAGTCGGGGTAAGAGTGACTCTCTAATGTGAGCAAAAATGAGGAAATCTTTCTCTAGATCAGACTATTCGTGAACCACACATATACTTACACACTAGATGAAGATGGGAAGGATTCTTTGAGCTTAAGTCATAAACTATGAAACACACATATAGGAGAATTGTAAAATGGGAATTGCTTATAATCTAAAAATGCCATTTCTCTGTTGAACAGAGTTTTTGTTTTTGTTTTTTTAATAAAAGAGTAGCCAGCCCAGGGTGAAGTATTTAGGGCAACCAGGATATGATATCTCCAACTCTTTTTTAAAAAATAATATGCATTATATAAAGAGAGAAAAAAATTGATAAAGCAATGGAGATAAAATTGAAACAAGTGGTGAGTCTAAGAAAACAGTGCTCAGGGGTTCTGTGTTCTATGCTTACAACATTTCTATCAACTTGAAATTAGAACAAAATTAGAACTTATGAACAAACTAACAAAAGGGCTATCCGATGACTTTTTTGTGAAGCCTTGCCTCCAAAACAAAAATGTTCACACAGTCACTTAAGTGCCCGTTCAAGATTTATCTTCATATGTGCAATAAGCATTCACTGTGACATAATATAATTTAGGATTGTGCAACAATCCATTGACCATAACTAGAGAAAGAAAAAGAAAATCTTGCTTTCTCTGCTAAACCTTTGAGCACTTGCAGCCAAGATACAGCATCCAGAGCGAAGGAAAGAACTGCTCCTGGTGGAGTAATACTGGGTGCTTCTCTTTTAATTCAGTCTAAATCCCCCAAGTCGGCAAGACTGAATCAAAGAATCACAACTTAATAGACAGTGAAAGTCCTTCTATGAGGTAATTTCTACGAGTCCCCAAACTGCTCTCTGAATGATATCTACAGATACGGACATGGACACAGACACAGATATAGATGATGTAGGCGCAGATCTACAGAATATAGATGCAGACAGAGAGAGAGATGTACATGTACCTGACACAGGTGTGCAAGCAGATGACATCAGTGCAGGTGTAAATGTGCACACACTTGAGGATGAGGTAGATCTAGATGACATAGGTATAGATGAAGAATAGGGGTAGGGAGAGGTAGATGAAGATGTAGATGGCGTGGATGTAGGTGTACATGGTGTAGAAGTCGATGATGTAGATGTAGGCGTAGATGATATAAATGATGTAGATAATGTAGCTTTAAGTGTAGATGGACATGTTCATGTGGATGATATGGATGTAAGTGTAGGTGTCTACATGATCATACAGATCATGTAGAGTGATGATGCAGACTGTAGGTGTAGATGATACAGACAGAGAGAGAGATTGAGATAGGGATCGGGAATATGGGATAGGGATAGGAGACAGAGGTAGGGAACAGGGAATAGAGATAGGGATGGGGTAGGGGGTAGGGGATAGGGATTAGAGGTGGGGCTAGGGCCAGGGGATGGGGATAGGGAAAGAGATAATTTCCCAGCTATCCTGAAGTTAATGGAGCTCAAGTCACAGCTCCATTATCATCAAGACCACCCAGTGAATCGACAGGCATACTACTGACCCAGCCAGGTGATAAAAACAACGATAGCAGCAGCAGTAACAACACCAACACCTCTGAGCAGGTGTTGAGTGCCAGGCACTGTGCCAGGCACCTCACCTGCAGCATCTCATTAAATACTCCTGGTCATCCTACCGGCTAACGCGTTTATGTCCCCAGAGGCTTATGGAGCCAAAAGCAAGCTTCTCCGTGAGGTCTTTTGTGACCACCCTTCTTAAAATTTCAAACACTCCCACCATTGACCCCTGGCCATGCCCTCTCTCCTGTCACCATTTACTCCATGGTGCTTGGCCTCTGTTCCAAAGTCATCCATCAGCTGCCTCCCCAACTAGGATTCCAGCTCCACAAGGCCATGGAGTTGTGTTGCCTCCCCTGCCCCGTCCCCACCACCTGGAACTGTGCCTGGCACACAGGAAGCACTCCACGAGGACCCATGGAAGAAGCAAATGGCCAGGACAGGGAGAGGGGCACAGTCTCGGGGAGGGGGGGGCTGCCTGTGACCACACCTGTTGCCTTCATTCTCAAGGATCCGATGGTACCGCTCCAGCTCGTTCTTCAGTGTCTGCTGGGCGACCACCAGCTGCCGGCAGTCATAGGAAGACCTCTCCAGGCTCCTCTCGGCCTCCTCAATCTCCTTCCGCAGGGTTTCGATCTGTTCATTATAGAGCTGAATCTCGTCATCGTAACACTCATGGGCATCTTTAATAGCTTGTTCCAGGGCCGAGGTCTGTGGGCAAAGACACAGCTGTGAGGAAAGCCATCCTGCCTCTTCCTAAGACACAGGCTTGACCAGGAGAAACTGGGCTCAGGTACCCCGTTTTGTTTGCTTTGCTCCTTTGTTTCTCCACCAGTTTTGTTGTTGGCAATGAATTACTTTGGAATCCTGGAGCCAGAAAGGAACCTGGACACTAGCTAGCCCCAGCCCCCTCTGAAATCTGCCCTTAACAGAGTCTTCCCCAAAGAGAGTCTGAGGATGGAAAGCCCAGAAAATAAAAAGTTAACTGCTGTCCCTGGAATAAAATGTATAATTTGAATAAAGTATATTCTTCATATTCTGAGTTAGCATAAATCTGACAGCCAAAAAATAGAAGCACACATACTAAATAGATAAGATGCTATTTTTGCTAAAGTAATGAAGGGGGGGGGGCATGTTTCTTGTTCTTATTTAATCACTATGACACTTTACTTTTGTCCTGATTTCTGATTAGTAGAGTTATATGTTTGGGTAGCTAAAGTGTGCGTGTGCACTTGTGTACACATAAAACAACCTCAGGGTTACACTATTTACATACTAATGCAGGGCTAGTCAAAATTAAGGTAGGACAATAGAAATTTGACAGAATATAAGGTGGACTTCTATTCACTTTAAGAGCTTCTAACACTGCACAAAGAGCCACGTGTGTACTTATTTACAAGCTTAGTATTTATGTAGTCATGACGCTTTTGTGATCTCATTTTCCGAAGTAGGAAAGAATTCACCATGCATTATCAGTCCTCAAAACAAAATGAAACAAACAAACCGAAAAACCACTTCTACCTACAACAGCACATCCCAAAATTCAATGCGAACCACCCGAGGATGTTGTTAAGCTGCAGACACAGACTCAGCAGGTTCTACGATCCTAACCACTTCCCACACGATGCTAAGGGCACTAGTCTATGGACCACACCAGGAGTCAGGGGGGCTGCACTGGTATCTGAGTTCAACGTCATGTATGTCTGCTACAAGGCATTTCATGCATGCAGCTGAATGCGCATACTGGACAATCTAGAGGATGCAATTCCTACGACACCTGATTCCTCACTTTACATACAGATGTGGCCTTGGAACAGTGAAGTTTCCTAAGTGATGACACTTGAAAACTTAGCTTACCATGGTTTTTGGGAATGTGTCTATTGTATCAAGAAGGAAGGAAGGAAAAGAGAAGGAACAAAGGAAGGAGGGGGGAAAGAAAGGAAGGCAGGAAGGAGGGCAGGAGGGAGGGGAGGGAGATGGGAAGAAGGGAAGGAAGGAAGGAAGGGGCACATATACTCCATACTTTGGGAAGTCGCTTGCCAGCCCATGTCGTCCCCCGTGTCTGATGCCTGTTCCGTCTCATAGAGGGGTCCCAACGGTGGTGTGATCTCACTCTTCTGACCAGACCTACAGAACCAGGGCCAGACACAGACTGGCCTATCACATGCTTCCTCTCTGGGGAATTTGTAAAAGGATCTCAGAAACAGCGGTGAGCTGGTGGCAGGTCCACAGAACCCCGGGGCCGCCATCTTTCATAATGTGCATGGAGAAGTTACGAAAAGCAAATCTTCAGAGAGGCAGAGAAATGAAGCCAAAGGGCAGAGACAAACAGAGATGAGAGAGTTTGTGGGAGAGAAGGGAGACAGAGAGTGAGCAGTTAGCTGCCTCAGATCCAAGTTCCTGGTTCCTGCTCTCAAATTCCATAAACTACCTTTTATATCCTGTTCCTTTGCGGGGGGTTGGGGGGGTGGAGGGGGTGGATAGTATCTTTACAGTGGAGAAACCCGGCAGACACCACCTTAACCAAGTGATCCAAGTTACATCACCGGCAGGAAGACATGCCCACATGATGCTCCCCTGATGAGAAGCACCCAGAAGGACACTCACTTCTGTGCGTTCCAGCCAGGAACACACAGCCTCAGCCTAATCCTGAAAAAAACATCTGGGAGCCCAAAAGGAGGGACATTCCCAAGATAGCTGGCCATCAAGGTCAGGAAAGGCAAAGAAAGGCAGGAACTATCCCACATTGGGGTAGACTAAGGAGACACAACACCTAAATGCAAGTAGGATCCACAGGAAAAGATGATGTGGGTAATTTGTGAAATTGTTGTCGAGTCTATTACAAGGATGGTATCATCGCTAGTTTCCTGGTTTCAATCACTACACTGTGGTTATCAATTAAGGAGCTAACATTTGGGGAACCTGGGTGAAGAGTATGCAAGAAACCCATGTGCTATTTTTTGCACTTTTGAGAAGTCTAAAATTAGCTCAAAATAGAATTAAAGTGCACTCTTTCCTGTTTAAGCTTGTTTGACTGGGTGTCTGTCCCTCCTGAAAAAACAATTGTTTTAAATTCAAAGAGTTACCTGTCATGTCAAATACCAAGGGCTCCCACTAATTCCTGGTGCAGCCGCATGTTCTGACCTACACCAGTACTCACACATTCTAGGAAAGGCTTCCAAGAAATAAGGACTCTAAAAGACCCTTCTGAGGCTCAAATCTCAGAGACAACAAGCCACCCAGGAATGGAAGAATCCTGAAGTCAGACAGACAGACATTCCTTTTCTATGAAGCAGTCCTGAGAACAAGCCTGGGGGATGCCGGCCGCACTGGGCAGCAGGGAGGGTGCCTCTGATCAAAGCTTACCTTCCTCCCCTGGATACAGGAAAGAGTCCGTGCCCACAGCACCCAGACTTTAAAAGTATGCCTATTCCACAAACAAATATCGAGGGGGAAGAAAGAGGTAACAGGGAACCTATAGGATAAAAGAGACTTAAAAGACGCAGAAACCAATTATAACGTGTGGACCTTATTTGGATGGCAATCCAAGTAAACGCTAAAGAATGAAATTGTGGGAAAGACTCCCCATTGGCTGATTCCATTTATATGACAATCTGGAAAAGACAAAGCCAGTGGCTGCCAGGGGTTGGGAGTGAGGTGGGGCAGGGGCTGCCCACGATGCCCAGCTCCCCGGGGAATTTCAGGGTGAGGGCACTATCCTGTATCTTGATTGTGGGTGTGGGTACAGTGCTGCATGCACTTGCCATGCAGATGTAACATGTACCGAAAAGGGGGACATTGGCTGTATGCAGACAGCACCTCAGTTAATGTTGAGACAATCAGAGATCTGATCCCCGACTGGACATTTGGTGATACTAAAGAAGTACTGTTAATTATTAAAGGTGGGTTCATGGACCCACGTTCTATAAAAGGAGCCCTCATCTTTTCGAGAGATCTGTTCAAATATGGCTGGATCAGATGATTTGGTGTCAGGGATTCCTTCAGAATTACATGGGGGTGTGTGGGGGTGTAGGAGGTATAAGAGGGACCATGTGTTGGGGGATGGGGATCTGGGGGCTCATGAGACTGTTTTCTCATTTTTACATATGTTTGAAGTGTTCCAAAATAGAGTGAAAGCAAAGATTATGTGTAAAGTGAGTCTATTGCCCCCTTTGGGTCTGGGTTCCCTAGCCCAGGGCGGGAATAATGGTTTGTGTGGGCAAGTTCTCACATGCAGCAACTCCTCAGCCTCAGGACCACCTCATGCGGGTGGGGCGATTATGACTCCGCTTTGCAGATGAGGAAACAGACACGTGGGCAAAGTGACCTGCCAATCAATACAGGATTCAGAGCCACCTATGCAGGGTCTGAGACCCTTCCTGAAACCATGGGCCCTCCTGCGTCAGCCTCTTCCCAACTGCAGGAGAGCAGGACACACACACACACACACAAACACACACACGCGCGCACACACACACACACACTCTCTCTCTCTCTCTCTCCCCGGGCCCTTGGAAAACCCCCAATTCCCACATATCAACAGGCAAGCATCACCAGCATGTTCTCACTGAAGACCTAGGGGACACAGGGTGACCCCCACACAGACTTCTCCCTCCCTGAGCACAAACACTTGGCAAATTTTTAAACGGTAAGTAGGATAGCAACGCATTTTCACAAACTAGGACATTAGAAACTAGAAACTTCCAACCTTCCAGGGCAAGTATGATTTTTTTTTTTTTTTGTATCTCATGGGTCAGTGGTGTGCTGGTGGGAGTAGCTGGGTGGTTGGCTGGTGGCTGTCCTCTGATGGAATCTGCGGGAGGAATGCCTGCCCTGGGAGGAGGCTCTGGGGATGTAAGGTGTCTTCCAATCTCTGACGGGCACTGGTGCTCTGCCTGATTCTGCCTGCGTCCACCAAGAAGTGCTGAATGAGTTTATAAAACTGGATTTACATCTATGTCAATGTGGTTTTGGCAGCTCAATAATTTAAACTATTCATCAGGGAGCACCTGGGTGGCTCAGTCGGTTAAGCATCTGCCTTCAGCTCAGGTCATGATCCCAGGGTCCTGGGTTCAAGTTCCGCATCAGGCTCCTTGCTCTGCGGAGAGCCTGCTTCTCCCTCTAACCCTCTCCCCTCTCGTGCTGTTTCTCTCTCTCTCTCTCTCTAATAAATAAATAAATAAAAATCTTTTTAAAAAAATAAAATAAAATAAACTATTCATCAAAAGGAGAAATGTTCAAGAAAAATATTAAGAGCCCCACTTTCATCAGCTTAAAGGGGGCCAAAGGGATGTCTCTGCATGAGCAAACCTGGCACCAGCTTCACTACCTGAGAATGAGATGTGGCCCCTCCTCCGAGGAGCCCAGAGGCCAGGGTGGGAGGTGGCTCACTCATAGAGACATGCCCAAGGCATCACGAAGCACATGGAGACCCTCGGATGCTGGAGGATGTCAGAGAAGGCCAGTCCTAGGTACCAAAGAAGAGAAGGTTCTTCTGGAAAGAGGAGAAGTGATGAGCCAAGGGGCAGGTGCGAGAAATCACAGGAGGGTCAAGAGAGGAAGAGAAGTGAGAGTAGCCCACTCACATCTCTGGGTTTCTTGGAGGGGAGCAGCCTCACAGAAACTGGAGAGAGAGGTGGGTAGAAGGGGTGCGCCGTGCCGCAACTTGACCTTCATCCTGAGCAAGGGTGACTGCTGTGTTTCTCCTTGGACCGTTGACACCCTTCTGAGATCAGCTGCAGGCGGGAGCCACACCATGCGCTGCTCAGTACTCCCTGAACCTCATCTGGAGCTTGGCGATCAAGGCTGAATGAAGGAGTCAGTATTCGAGCACAGCTGTGGGGCCTGCTTTTGCACGGCAGGGGTCAACAGGGACCCAGGACAGTGCCTAGCAGTGAGCCCCCATCCAGAGCGGTGACCTCCTGCTTCAGTCCTCTTAGGCCCCCGGATGCCTTAGGCCCCCGGATGCCTTTGGGTCCAAGGTCGTTTGTAAAAAGGAAATGGGTTCCTTTTTCTCCACATCCTCGCCAACACGTGTTGTTTCTTGTGTTTTTGATTTTAGCCATTCTGACAGGTGTGAGGTAATGGGTAAAACAGATAAAGGGGATTAAGAGTACACTTGTCTTGATGGGCACTGATGCATAGAATTGTTGCATCATCACACTGTACTCGTGAAGTTAACATCTGCTGTATATTAATTATACTTCAATTTTAAAAGAGGGAAAAAAATTTTTAAAAAGGAAATGGAAGAAATCAAGTATTCTTCACTGATTACATGCTCTTGCCAAAATCTACCACTAGATGGCGCGAGGCAACTTTAATGAGAAGTGATAACCAGGGAGGTTTACTCCTTCCAAGTAATACAGGACCTTTTTCACTTTCCTGTCACAGAAACTCTCAGTCAATGTGATCAGGGAGCCAGAAGTGCCTGTCCCTTTCCTTCCACCTCTAGGAAGTGCCATCCCAGTGGTCTCATGCATGGGCTGTGTTGGGCTTCAAAGAAGGGGCTGTCAGCTCTAATGGAGGATGCTATTCCTTCTATTCTGTGGACTAGGGTTCTCAAACTTGAGTTTGCACAACCACCCGGAGGGCCTGTTAAAACAGAGATTGCTGGGCCCCATCCCAAAGTTCCTGACTCAATAGGTCTGGGATGAGCTTGTGAATGTGCATGTCTGACAAGTTCCCAGGTGATGCTGATGCTGCTGGTTTAGGGACCTCACCCTGAGGACCATGCTATGGAGGATTCTGGAAGCATCAGATGCTCTAACCAGAGGCAGAACCAGATGCAGTGGTTCTGCCAGGTTGGAGCCCTCAGGCTGCAAGGAGTTCTCCCTCTCCCACCCTCCTCACTTGTCCCCAGTCATAGCATTGGCCCTACTGAGGGGCTAAGCCACCAAATCTACCTTGGAGACCCTCAGCTCAGCTACTCCATTGGGAAGCCTCTAAAACCTTTCAAAATCAGCAAAAAAGCCAGCCATGAGCATCTCCTGAATAGGCTATGGAAGGAAGGCCCAAGCCAGGGACTCAGGTGGACCGGATGTAGAACATTCTGACCCAACCTGGGGCCCACCCTTATACCAGTGTTCTCAAAGTTCCTGGATCAGAAGCATCATCACCTGGAAACTCAGAAATGCACATTCTTGGGCCACACCCCAGAACTACTGAGTCAGAACCTCTTGGGTGGGCCCAGCCATATCTGTGTTTTAATAAGAGCTAATTAGGCAGACTTCTGGTACCCATGACCATTGCCCCTTAGCTTTATGCCCATGAATGTTATGTTACACAGCAAAAGGGACTCTGCAGATGTGATTAAGGTTCTTAATCAGCTGACCTTCAAAAATAGGGAGATTATCATAGATTATTCCTGATCATATGAGCCCTTAAAAGCAGAAGTCAGAGAGATTAGATGCATGAGAAAAATTCTATGCACTGTTGCTGGATTTGAGGATGGAGGGGGCCATGTGCCAAGAGACGTGGGCGGCCTTTAAGAACAACTCCTGGCCAACAGACAGCAAAGAACTGGGGTCCTCCATCCTACCTGCACACAGAGTTGACTCTTGCCAACAACATGAATGAGACTGGAAGATCCTCCACCAAGAGCCTCCAGATAAGAAGGTCGGCCAACACCTTTATATCAGCCTTGTGAGACCCAGAGCAGAAAAAACCAACCAAGCCTGCCCAGACTTCTAACCCTGGAAGTGTGGGATAAAGGACTGTTGTTTCAAGCCCTTGCATGTATCGAAATTCACTAGAGTAGCGAGAGAAAACTAATACAACTTGTGTTTCATTAGCTCCACCGCTAGATTTATTTAATATAAGCGCATCGATTATGATATAGAAAATGACTGGTAATATTCTGATAACTGTCTCAATAGAATTGGTTTCCTTTTAATTATACATACTTTATTTTTATTCTATGCCCTTAACATTGTTCTGAGAAGTGGTCCATGGGCTTCACCAGGTGGCTGGGGGGTGGCGGGTCATGGCACAGAAAAAGAGAAGACCCCCCAATTTAGAGAGACAACAACATCAGAGTAAGACCAGTAAGTCTTTCTGCAGCAGCTATGGGTGGGGACAGGCAGCCAAGCAGACAGACTGATTTCATAGTCTCCGAAACTAGGTTAATCCGTGATGAAAGGTCTTACTTTTACATTCAACAAATACATATATGTACATAGAGACAGAAACATTTATGCCCTAGAATTGGAACTTACCACGTCAGACTGAGCTCTTTCATTTTCTCAGTATCTAGGGCAGGGTTTTCAACTTTGTTGCCACGGCCACAGAAAGAGCCACATTTTACGTCACAAACCACAGACATCACACAAATGTGTGTGTGTGTGTGCATCTGAACAAATATATATATTTAAATATGCAAACATATATATTTAAAACACAGTTTTCACAAAACAAATCCCACCATTACTAGCCATGCACTCGGTTATTTCTTATTCTAGCTTAGTCTAGTGTTGTCAATTTCTTCTTTTTTTAATGCCAGTCAATTCTGCTGAATTCATTTTACCACCCAATGATGAATGGTAAACAGTGGTTTGGAAAACACTGGTCTCAAGGACCAGTGGGCTTGTGTCCACTTCTCCAATTTCTCATTCACACAAACACACACACACACACAAACACGCACACATATACACATACACAGAGATACACAAATTTATATACACATACAAATATATACATACACACCTATACATATATGTATATAACATGCACACATACACACATGCACACACATACACATGCATACCTACACACACATAAACATATATACATACACACGGATGCAAACACACACACACACCACATACTCATGCTCGCTCCATTCTTCCAGGGCCTCAGAGGAAACCACTAACTACCAAGTCACCAAAATGGTGTGTCTGGTCCCTGAGCCATGGTTTGTCATGAGAAGGATGAGCTTAAAGGCAGTGCTCAATTTCTCGAGGTGTGATCTTTACCTCGGGAGATAATCACCAGACCCCAGTTTGCTTTCAGTGGCCCCTGAGAGTTGCTGCAGAGTGACAGGTTTGTGCAGTGGGCAATGGGACAGAAATGAAGATTCTGGAACTCCACGGTCCCAAAAGAGATCCTGGGCAGATCTGGAGGGCACTGAATAGCTACAAAAGCACCAGATCCATTGTGGCTTTAACTTCTGATTTTGCAGGCATTGAAGGGATAGAGACAGAGTAACATTTAATGTTCCAGGTTTCCTAAATAGTCCAATTTTTCAAACTTTTTGTTCTCTTGTACCCTATGTGTACTTGTCAAACCAAATGTCAATTTATTTTTAGATTTAGAAAATGCAGGTGCAGAGTATAGGAAAATTTAGTATTTTAACCCAATGTGCTCCATCAGAATGGTACAGTAATGAGAGAAAGAAAACTGGAAGGAATCAGGGGGATGAGCTATGAAGCTCGTTAACCAAGAAGGAAGGCCACAGAAAGAGGAGTGAGTTCTTCTGGTGACTTTAGTTTTCAAATTAAGCCTCACCAAAAAAAAAAAAAAAAAAAAGGAGGGGGTAGAAATGGGAGCTTTATGCTAACAAATTCTGAGCAGAAGCAAACACCAACACAAGCCTGTAATCAAATTCCAAAGGAGAGGGTGCCTGGGTGGCTCAGTAGTTTAAGCGTCTGCCTTTGACTCAGGTCATGATCCGGAGGTCCTGGGATCAAGTCCTGTGTCGGGCTCCTTGCTCAGTGGGGAGTCTGCTTCTCTCTCTCCCTCTGCCCCTCCCCCCACACATGCTTGCTTTCTCTCTCTCTCAAAAATAAATACATTTTTTAAATCTTAAAAAAAAATCTGCCAAAGGAGAGATGTTAGGTCATGAAACGAGAAAGAGGAAGCATAGATTTGACCAACTAGAGGATAAAAATTCCAGTAAGTATCCATCTCTTCTTATTTTTAACAACAAGATTAAACTGGGCAAAACAAATCGACCTGCAGAAGGCTTGGTGGGGAGGAGTGGCACGAGGGGAACCTCTGAGGCTCCTGGAATTAGCATGACCCATTATCCCTGCTTGGCCAGGACTTTGCCAGTTTGGGCATGGAAGTCCTCCATCCTGGGAAACCCTTGGTCAAAGCAGGACAGCTGGTCACACTACTCAGAAAAGCTGGTTTCTGGCTCTGAGCACTGGACACACAGGTGTGTTGAGTTTGTGAGAATTCCCTATCCCCCACCCAGCTGGATACTTGTACACTTTTCTGCACGCTCAGGACACCTGAATACAGTGTGCTGTAAAACCTGATTCACATGTGTGGTGTGAATGCCCAAGGGTGAGCAGCGGACACGAGGGGGTGGAGCCATACCTGGGCCTGTAGCTCCGTCCTCTGGGCCTGCAGGAGGGACACCACCTCCCGGCCCTCCTCCAGCTGACTCTGCAGGGCAGCGGCCTCCCGTTCTGTCAGGAGCTTCTCCTGCACAAAAAGGCCAGACTCAGCATGCACATGCACTTGATGTGTGAGGAAATCCACAGGGAAAGGGGGCAAAGAAGGTTCTTCAGGTTCGTGTCCCCTTGCCCAAACTCATATGCTGAAGCCCTGCCCCCAATATGGGGCCTTCGGGAGGTGATGAGATCTACATGAGGTCATGAGGATGGGGCACTCGTGGTGGGGTTAGTGCCCTTATAGGAAGAGGAGGAGACACCTGAGTGCTCTCTCTCTCTCCCCAAGATGCACCAAGGAAAGGCCATGTGAGGACCCACCAAGAAGGTGGCTGTCTACAACCCAGGAAGGAGACCCTCATCAAGAGCCGAATCTGCCAGCAGCCTGATCTTGGACTTGCAGCCTCCAGGGCTGTGAGAAACAAATGTCTGCTGTTTGCTCGTCCCTGGCTGTGCTGTCACCGCGCCCGAGCTGACTAAGCCAGGCCCATGGCGGCCACCCTTAAGTTCTGCCTGTTCACGGTCTTCAGAGTCTGAACCATAAACGCTAGGAGCGTAAATCGCCGGAGACCCACATTTTAGACCTGGCTGTGCCATAAACTGGCTAAGAGACTCTGGACAAGGCACTGTCTGCTTCTATAAAAAGGAAAGCTGGGAATGCCGACTCTCGCTGGGCTCTGTCGTCTGTCCCTGCAGGTGGCACGGTCAGTCTGTGCCCCGGGCTGTCGACGGTGCCAAGATGTCACGGCCGCACCAGGCTGTCGGGCTCCAGGGACCACAGGGCAGTAGGGGCCCCAAGGGAGCTGCCCCGCCCTCTCCCCACTCGGCGGAGCGACATGGAAGAAGATCCGTCCTCAACCGCTCCACACAGGCTGAGCCGGCGCCCTTTTCCAACCGGTCCCTCCACTGTCTGTCCAAGAACATCCAAATCCCTTGGCAAGAGCCGGCCTCTGCTCAAGAGCAATGCCTTCTGACACGGAGCGCGCTGCCTCCCCGCCAGGCAAACCTCGAACACCGAGCACGAGCCCCGTGCCCCCTGCCCAAAGCCGCACAGGTGAGGCAGCCCCCCGCTTGCCCTCACTGTGCAAAGGGGCTGGAGCCACAAGAGGGGCACGGAGACAGCTAGAGCAGGACAGACAGACAGACAGACAGACGTGCACAGAGGGAGCCCGTGTGGGCCCGGGGCCGCAGCCCGATCCCGGGGCGGAGGCGGGGCGCGGAATCGGAGGCATAACTGCAGAGGGCCCTCCTCGGCTCTGCGCGCTTACCCCGGAGCCCGTTTTTCCCCGTGTTTCTCAGTGCGCGGGGGGCATGCTTTCTCTCCGCCTGGCTCTGTGTCTCTCCCTGCGTCTCAGGCTCTGCTTCTCTCTCTGTCTCCGTCTTCTTTGTTTCTCTGTGTCTCGGTCCCCACCTCCCTGCCTCAAAGATGCGGACAAGGGGGTGGCTGAGGGCAGAAGGGGACTCACGTCCCCCAGTGCCAGCACGTGGAAGATGTGCGTATACGCCACACTTTGCCAATTCTAGGCCTGCAGCCTCGGGAGAGAAGCAGACACGATGCCCAGACACTGCATCTGCCAGAGCCCTGCCTGCTTGCCTGGCCCTGTCTCTCCTCACTGCCCAGCTCCTATTCATCTTACACACCTCCTCACGCCCACCCAAGGGGGCACAGGAGACCCTCGGATACAAGAAAGACAGCCCAGCTGCTGTCAGCCGGTAGCTGGCACTCATCACCGGGCCGTGATGCTCCCTCTTATAAACTTGCAAATGAGCTCCCCGCCCAGTATCCAAAGATGTCACTCCGGGACCAATGGGGAATGAGACAGAAACAAGACCACCCCATGTCTGAGCACGCACAAAAATCACCAAACCTCCCCTCCCCCACTAACACAAGCGATGCTGCTTGATCACCAAGTACCGCCTCCCAGGTACAAATTACAGGGATGCTCAGTCATAGCACCAGCCCTCTCCGGAGGGCACCCAACCCAGAGCAGGGCCCTGCTTAACTGATCCCACCCCCAGATCACCTAACACAGGCCTCAATCCTCTCACACGTCCCTCCTCCACTGAGACACCCTGCAAGTCTCCACGGGGTACCCCCTCCCTTGCTGCAGTGAATAATTCACCCAGCTTTATTTGACCACAGATGCATCTCCAGTGGCCTCTGGCTAGAGGGTGAGCGGTGTTCCTTGAACAACACTAACTGTATCCTCATTTTGCAAAGGTGACTCACACATTTTCTAGGTAACAAGAGTCAATGAAACAAACCTGAAAGGGACCATCTATCTCATATATAGAATTTTTAAGCACAGATTAATAAAGAATGTGATGCTTTCTGAATCTGTTTCTCCCAGGGAGGTCTTGCTAAAAGGGCAGATTCTGACTCAGTGGGTCTGTACTCAAGCTGGAGATTCTGCACTTCTAACTAGCTCCCAGAGGACGCTAAGATCACTGATGCTCTCAGAGTGGGGCCAGACACTCTCTATATTCTTACGACTCAGAAGAATTGTGTTACAAGAAAACAGAGGATACGATTTAAAAGGTGTGCTTTGGTGTAAAACACTTTTGAACCAGAGGGAAAAATGAGTATGCACGATAAAAATAAGGTATCTGGAAAGAAATCTCTGACAAAGAAAATTAAGGCATCAGGAGAAGCTATTTTAGGTCTTTGTGGAAACCTCAGTTATACCAATATGGAGAGCAGGCACCTGAAATGGTCACTGGCGGGCAATTCGGACGAAAATATTCCCAAGAACAAGCAACTTTCCTTGGCAGAGTTTTAAAGTGTCCTCTGGGGCGCCTGGGTGGCTCAGTCAGTTAAGCATACGACTCTTGATTTCGGATCAGGTCAGGATCTCAGGGTCGTAAGATCGAGTCCCGCATTAGGCTCCACGCCCAGGGTGGCGCCTGCTTACAATTCTTTCTCTCCTTCTGCCCCTCCCCCTGCCCCTCCTCCC